ACACACACACACACACACACACACACACACACACACACATATATATATATAATTTGTTTTATAGATTTTAAACGCTTTTAGATTCTTGATATCTCAGTAGCTAATTCAAGTGTCGATATTTAACTTTGAAACAACGGAGAAAACTTGTACGATAAAACCACTTGGTAATTTCGACACGTACGAGAAGTAAAATGAAAACAATCGCAATGCACGAGCGCTTCTTTCGCATTACCCGGTAGATTCGCGTGTCGAGATTTAATCGGGAGCAGCGATTTAATCGTGAGCGTCGACGTGTCTTCATTCACTTACAACAATCTTGTTCTTTTCCACTTGTTCAGGTGGTGTTGTCAGCTTGCAGCTCCTACTTCCAGAAGCTCCTGCTATCGAACCCTTGCAAACACCCGACAATCATCATGCCGCAGGACGTCTGCTTCAACGACCTCAAGTTCATCATCGAGTTCGTCTACCGCGGCGAGATTGACGTTTCGCAAGCGGAGCTTCAGGTGAGCGCGCGAAGAATAAGGTCGATCTTTCGCCGCGTTCGTCGACCGGCGACGCGACGCGACGCGACGCGACGCGACGCGAAGCGACGTCACAAACCACGATTTCTCCTTCAACGTAGTCGGGCTCGATGTACGAATCCGACTTGAACTTTTAGCGACAATGTTCCTCGAGGGTATCAAGGAGCGAAGCGTCATAAAATAATCAATGAATTTCTCTTCTTCACTTCCAAGTCGGACAGAACGACTAGCTTCATCGATTACAACACGATGGTATCACATTCTCGACGTTCCCGTATATTTTAGGCAATTTTTAGGAATGAAGCGTCCGTTTAAGAATACACGTGCAAGGCAACATTTAAGGCTGCTATCTACAATCTTTCCTGTTTTTCGTTCTTTACTACCTTCTTCATTATCTCTTATCTTTTGTTTCTTATTATGCCCCCTATTTCTTTGTTTCTATCATCTGAGATAAAACTGGATGAACTTATTCGAAAGGGACAAGAAATACAGTGATAAGAAACACATTTATTGATAAAGCAGTCGCAAAGAGAGAGAGAGAGAGAAAGACAAGAGGCAAAAAGTAAGAAATAGAAGGGCATAACTGTACAGGAATCCTTAGGAATCCTTACAGGAGAATGCTATAAAAATTCCTAGTATTCAAACAAAATTTCATTATTTTTCCCGATTTCCAATAATATTTTCAAATTTTCTGTAATTTCGTCCTGATTTGGAAACCTGATTTGGTTAAATATTTTATTGAGGAGATCAATTTAACATAGCAAATTAAATGTAAATTACTATTAACGTTAGTAACTGACGTTACTTAATAATTGTTAATTTCGTTTTAGTATTCGAAAATCCTGCGTAGGTGTAATGTACGCATGTGAAATTTTTTCAAGTTAAGAATTTCAATTTTACAGAAAATTTTGCAAAATTCTCTGATTCCCAATTTTGTGGCGATCCTGATTAGCCTTTAGGAAAGCGTTTGTAATGGCGATCGATACCGATGCGTTGCAATATCCACGCTGAAATCGAGTATCGCAATGTTGGTCACAGCTCGTAATCGTCAAAATACCGGTCGTGACTTTCTCAAAATGCCTGGCTTCGTCGTTTCTGGCAGAGCCTCCGTGTGTGTATCGAAATGTCTCTGGATTTTGTACGTATCATGATATTAAATAACAAGCACGATCATTCTGTTTTATCTTATCGCGCTTACGCGTTATTACGACGCACGCTACGAATCGTACAGTTATGCGTCTCGCACCGCGAGATCTTTCGTCAAACTGATAGCGATTCCACGCAGACGGATGCGAGCCTTATCCGATTTCGAGAGCTCGACAAAGAAACGCTTCCCACGGAATCTGATAACATGCGTTATCTTACGAATCGATCTGCTCAAATTACGAATATTTTCTTCTTTTTTTTTTTCCTTTTTTTCTTTCAACGCTGCATTTTTTCTCTGCGTGCGACTTCACGTGACTTCCTCTCCATGAAATTCGCGGAGATGAAACTCGCTCGGGTGCATCGGCATGCTCGAATCGCGGCATGCGAGAAAGTACACCGGCTTTTTCTTCTTTTTCTTTCGGTGCCTCAAGTGCCTTCAATCCTAGTTTGAATTTTTAAACACATCTCTAGAATTTCTACAATGCGCAGCGATAAGAGAGATGCCGAAGATGCTTTCTTACCAGAAACCATTTGCTACAATCTAGTAGCGAATCTAGCAAAGATCTGTGAATAGTTCCGAAAACATTCATTCAAGCTCGGAGACAAATTTTTGAGCATATCTCCACAATCTGGACAAACGATAAGAACTGAGAATTTCTTAGGTCTGCTTTTTCATCCGATGATTAACTTGTGGTTAGGCTTAACCTGATCTTTTATCCAATGAGTTTCATCTATGATGATGTTTCATCTATGATCATGGATGAAGTCCATTTGGTGAAACATCAGGTTAAGCTTAATCACAAATTAATCAGATAATGAAAAACTGGGCTTCAGTGTATTATATTATAATGCGATTCTGCGGAGATCAAAGAAATTCACAAATCATTACGTATCTAGTCGGGACATAAAATAACATCTATAAGACGTCTAAAAAGTCTTAAAGTCATTTTTGCAAGAATTGTCTAAAAGACATCTTATATAAGTCATTTTATGTTCTAATTTTGGATTCGTCCATTTCTATTTAGATTAACTTTAATCTCGGCTAACTTATTTATTTTGTATCTTTTTCTATTATAGAGTTCTAAGAATTATGCTCATTTCCACTAATGTAATTTAATTTTAATCTCGGTTCAATTACACGGAAAGATTTGTTTCACTGATGTATCTAAAAATTTAGCTGGATAAAGATCTGAACATAATTCTGTTTCAGATATAAAAATAATTATGTAGGACACTCAAACTGGTTGCCAAAATGTTAAAACTTTTTGCAGCATTGTCGTTAAAGCTTAAACGTTCTACATAATTATTCGAATAGTCTAAAGAATTATACTTTTAGATGTACATTTAATTAAATGTTTAGATCTTTTACATAAAACTGTTCTCTCTCTCTCTC